CAGAGGGAGAAGCAGGCTCCCTGCCTAGCAGGGAGCCCGATGCGGGACTCGATCCAGGGACTCCAGGATCATGACCTGAGCCAAAAGCAGTCGCTTAACCAACTGAGCCACCCAGGAGCCCGGTTATTCATTTTTTTAAAGATTTATTTATTTACTTGAAAGAGAGAGAGAGCGTGTGCGCACACACTCACGAGTGGGAGAAGGGGCAGAGGGAGAGAATCTCAAGCAGACTCCCTGCTGAGCCCAGAGCCAGAGGTGGGGCTGATCTCACAACCGTGAGATCATGACCTGAACTGAAACCAAGAGTTTGACACTTACCCGACTGGGTCACCAAGGCTTCCCTCATTCTTTTTTTTATCTTTAATTACTCTTTCTATAAATACTTATTGAGGACCAACTATAAGCTAGGCACTATCCTCAGCACTGAAGACATAACAAAAGGACAAATAGACATAATGCCTAACCCCACAAAATTCACAGCCTAAACTGCAAGTCAGAAAAGAGACGTGGGAGGGTTCTCTGGGAAGGCTTCCCAGAAAAAGGCATATTAAAGCAAAAAACAGCACATAAAACAAATAGGAGTTAATATGATAAGGGAGCGGGAGAGAGCGGCAGTGGGAAACAAGGTGAGAAATTCCAGGCAAAGGAAACCACGTACATAAATACCTCAAACAAGAATGAGCATCCTAACTATGTCATCCTCTTTCCCACATTTACACCTTTGTTTCATTGCTTTTTCTCCCTTCAAAATCTTTCCCCATTCTCCCATCTCTGCCTATTCAAATCATAAACATCCTTCAAAGCCCAGATCAATAATATATACCCAGCTTCAAGGATAGTACTTGACTCATACGAGGCATGAAATAAACATTTGCTAAACAAATGGATGATGAAATCATCATTCTTCCCCAATCACAAATCTGCTTCATATTACAAGTATGTATGTGCCTGTCCTATCTTCCCTTGAAGTAAAGGACACATTCCCATAGCACCTAATGCATAATGAGCACTGGGAAAATATTTGGAGGCTGAATAACTCTAATGATCTAAGACTAAGCAGAGCTGCTAAAGAAGGATACTTTCATCTTCTACTTCTGACTTTACAATGATTTGGCAAAACAAAAGGTCTAGAAAATTCAAAATATTACTTATACATGAATTATATTAATATTGAACATTAGGTCTTCCATAAAATATCTCTCATAATGGAATTTATTTTTGCATTTGATTTCTTGGATGGCTAAATTTTAATGTTTAATGCTTTTGAATGACCTTCCGGGGGGGGGGAACACTTCTAAATTTAAATACTGATGAAGATGTTAAATTACTTTAGGATATTTTTAGAATATGAGAATAAGAAGTCTTTTTAATTAATGAACTGGACAGCCTAAAAATATTATTTGGTACTTCATTTTCCTAAAACTAAGATGAATTAGGAAATGTAAATTATACTTTAATTTCATTTAATGTTCATGATATCATATTTGGAATCATGCCTCAAGCCACACTGCAGAATTTGTTATGCAATTTATAATCTGTTATGAAAAAAACCTAAATTAAATCTGGATCATTCCATTTTTCAGATCAAAGAAGGCCAAGTGCAAAAGTAAAAAGAGGCTTTCAAAGAAAAGGCAAAGTGTTAAATAAGAAAAAAAAAAATTCTAGTTACTGCATAGTAGTACCTGTAGGAAAAGCAGCCCAAGGAATGGCAGGAGAGGTAGTTTGGGTTTCACCATTTCCACCATCAAAAATCTCTGCAGCCTAGAAAAAAAAGGCAAATTTATTTTCAAACATCTAAAAAGTATAAATGCTATTTAAGCAATCAAGCCTTCCAGTCCCACAAGCATATTCTCTGTGATATACCACACATTTTCAAATTCTCCCCAAATACTCAACTTTTTTTCAGTCTTCATAGTTACCACCCCAACCACTACTCCCCACCCCCAGTATGCACGCTCTGTTATTTTTAAGTACAAATCTCCCTTCCTTACTAAAATACATCTCCTGCTAATGAAAATTTTCTTTTGTATATCCTCCATCACATTTTTACTTGAGAACTTTATATCTAAGTACTCTAAACTAAGTATATCTTTTTCATTAATTAGCACAAGACCGAATAGAGATCAATCTAAAGAAACAGGATTCATCTATATTCTTCAATAACCTACCACGTGGACTTCCTAGATTCAACATTTAGAAAATTCCTAAAACTGATGTTTTAAATTAACAAGCTTTCCTATTAAACAGTTTTAAAAGTAAGGGACAGTCAATTACTGAATGCTGAGTTTGTGGGTAAGAGTTTTCTCTCTCTTAATTGTCCAGATCACAGCAAAATTATTACTAAGAAAAAGAACCAGAATTTCAATTTGGATTCTGCGTTGAGTTGTCAGCCAAAAAGAAGTCAACTGAGGCAATCTGCCACATAAGCTAAGTGACATAGAATATAGTAACTATTACCTATAAACTATGAAAAATGAACATGGTTTATTTAACCAAGGATGGAGAGCTTCCATATTTCTACAACCAGATATAAAAAGAAAGAACCCTAATAACCAATTAAATTGGAATAATTGGTTAACATTATAAATATGTAATACTGAAAGGAATAGGCCCATTGACTGTAACATGGAAGTATAATTTTACTCTGAGGAAAACTACTCACTCTATTTTTTTCTGATGTAATAAATCAAACATGGTTTAAGTAAAGAAAACTGTACTAAGTTTAAACCTTCAAATAACTGACAACTTGTAAACAATAAACTAAGATGATATCTGAAACATCTATTATCCTCAAATGAAAAAAATTTTAACAAAATTTTAAGTGTTAATTTCAGTAAAAGAAGATTCAATCACCCAACAAAACCTAAAATATTAAAGAAAATGCAAAAAACATACAAATGTGCTAAACAAAAACCAGTGTCAGATGAAATGCACAAAACAGGAATGCCCACACTGACAGATATTAAGATCAACGGACAAGAAATGATCCTATTCTTAAAAAACTCACACCACTTTTTCATGATATTCAGAATACTGAATATATACCTAATATCTTGTTTCTCCTATTAACATCATTAATTAAACTCCTTATTTTTAATAAAGAATCTCTAATTCCAAATTAGGTGAAAGTCTTACTAAAAAGGAAAAAAAAAAAAATCACAGAGCTCACTTGGTAGTTCCAGGACTTGAGCTCAGGCATCCTGACACCTAATCCAGAGATTTTCCTGCAAGACTATACTGGCTCCATAAAAATAACTGGGTTACAAAATATTTCAATAAAATGAACACACACTGAAAAGGATTAAGGAAAAGACAGTGCTTCTTCAGCTAACAATTTCCACTTACAAAGCATCCGACTTAAACCTGAGAGAATAATCTAACAACACAAACATACTAATTAGCTCTATAAGCCACCAAAAGGCTATGTATTTAATACACTAAATCAACTCATTACAGGTGTAAACATGAAAATATGTGACAGATCTGCAATACTCATCCTTCATCTCACAAGTATTTCCTAATAGACATGTAGCCCAGCAAAATCGTCAGCTGACAATTTTTAAAACTTCTTTAATGCTTCGACTAGTAGCACTTAATTAAGTCTATTTAAACCATTCCATGGGCATGACCATGCATTCAAATAGTTAGTTTTATCTTTCAAAAAGGATATGTTTCATTTTCCTTGATTTCACTTTTTTATTCCAGTGTTACATTAAAAATGAAGAAATGATCATGAGTACCAACGATAAATAATACATTTTCAAAATAGTATGCTCCATTATAACCCCACAAAGTTAAAGCAATTACATAAGCAAAATAAGGTAATTGCACATACCTCAAAACCACCAAAATCATCATCATCCATTCTTCAAGTGCACCTGAAAAATATCAGAAGACATTGAAACAAGCCCACACACACAGTCATTTATGTCAAAACACTTTTCTGACTTAAATGTATTTGACTTGTAAATTAAAACTATTTCATTTGAGATAAAAAAAAAATCTACTTTTTTTAACTACATGGGTATGCATTTTTTAATGCAAAAAGACTGGGGTTTTTTTGGCAAAATTAGCAATTTCTGTGACTTTTTCAGCAGCCATGTATTTTGCCATTTTGTGTTGAGACGCCAGGAGTGGAAAAATATTCTTTTACATTTTAATTTGCTTTTCCCAAATTGGCGCTAGGGCTCAATTCAATAATGCTTCCTGCTTTTTGCATCTATTCCTCAGTTGTCTGGCAACATCAGCACAAACTCCAGCTAAGAACAGAACTGTGGTGAATTTTTGGAAATCTGTCCCCCACCACAAAGGTTCTTCCCTCGGTTTCATGGCCGACGTTGATTTAGATTTTCAAAATTGATCAGCATTTTTGAGCTGTGGCCACAACTTCTGGAGCATTTTGATATGTGTATTTTTAGCTGAAACTGCTTTGCACTTTTGGAAAAATGTGGAGCAAGTTACTAGGCTGATCAAGATAAATCAAGTCATGTATTCATGGGAGACCAGGGAAGAGAAAAACACAAGTGAATATCCTGAATTCTTCTCTTTACAGTTAAACTATGTAAGAGAGACAAGCAGTTAAGATAATACATGCTTTATTTTGTCCTTAATGTGTATCACAAAAATGGAAGGAGAAAACCATGAGTACTGGGACTTTTAAAAAGAAGAAAAAGAAAAAGCTTTTATCTAACCAACCATTAAAAAATCAAAAAAACCTGGAAAAGCAAAACAAGTAATAGATGGCATACATTTAAATGAAAAAAAAAATCACAATAAATTGTGAATCAGTAACCACAAGTAATACTCTGGTCAATAACAACTGGATTCCTTTTTTATTTTTCAAAAGTGAATGTATTGAAATTATTAATTATAGTTTCTTTGACTCACTAATACAAGATGGACTTGGTTACAGGAAAACAACCTTCTCCAGCTTCTAAAAAAAAAAAAACAGCTAAACAAATTAAACCATGTTAAGCAATGACTCTAAAGCATTTTCTAAGGTACTCTGCCTTAAGTGATGAAGTAGTCATCTATAGCCAGATCTTATCTTGTCAACGAAATTAATATTAATGCCTTCAAAAATAAAACTCAAAAACTAGTCAAAGAAAAATAAACAATGAAACACAATCTCAAGGATTGTTTTAACAGACAAAGAAAATTTATTTTCGCAGAAACTCAGGTAGGTAATGACACTAGAAGGAATATACGGAGGCAGAAGTACATTATAAAAAGGAAGGACATTAAATTAACCAAAACGAGACACCACTGTTGTCACCATTACCTGCAATTTAATAGTTTGATGAAAACTTTTTTAAAAGATGCATTTCTCACAAAAATCAAAGCTAAGCAAGTCATCCACATACAACACTTAAAAAATATAAACCAGACTTTCAGAAACTTTTGATGGTGGTTAGTTTGAAATGGAATTCACATTAATTCTGTATTGCAAGCAACTAGAAATCTGTACATGATTATATTTTTCATGAAGAAATTATGAAATAAGAGTGATATGGATACTGAGAATTAACCAAGTCAAACTATAAACACTAAGTTTGTGTTTTCCACATGTATTCCATGAATCTCAGAGACAATTAAAGAACATTTTTAGCATCTACAACACAGTGTCCAAATAATACAATTTCAAAATAACAGAATTTCTAGAGTAATGCTTCTATGTGTTTTTGTAAATCACATCCCAATAAATTATTTGTAAGATGCCAGAAAACTTGAAAACAAAAATAAATAGCCATGTTTAACAATCACCTCAGCTTGTTTGCCTGTGGTAATGAACCGAATATCCTCACCTTCCTAAGTACTGACTTAACTCCACAAAAGAATATAGCAATGATCACTGATGTTTTCCATATCCCAGCAACCTTTACATATTAAAATGAAGATGACAGTTTTCCTCTACTTTATTTTCAAAGAAATACTAACATATTTTAAAAGATAAATGTGTCTTGAATTTCTTAAAATATAACAATTAAAGAAATATTATTATTTTAAAGCATTAACATTTTTCCAAATATTTTAGTTTCAAATCCTGCAATAGTTTGTTTCCTTCTGAACATTACAAAGACCAGGAGAAAGTAAAATTAACAGCACTGATATGTACAAATCAACTTTACTAAATACAAAAACTAAAAATTAGTTTTTAAAAAGGAAGTATTACAAGTGTGGTCTCCTTTATAGATTTAGCTACTCCAGCACATTTAAAACATTACTTTATCTAAAATGCATTTATATTTTTTAGACTATTTCTAGCACTTAACATTAAATATAATACAGCAACACCAAATATATCTGTCATGTAACTTATAAAGTCATGAGCCTGGCTCAAATGTTGGAAGATCATGTAGTTCATTCTTTGTGTCATGGCAGGAGGAAAGATGTGTGATTACTATGATTAGGTATCTACATTGAAAGATTTCACAGTATCTAGTTTAACAATTCTCAGACTTCTTTATATCTGAATTTGATCTCTTCTGTTGCACTATTGTATCAATTCCCTCCTTTATTATTCTCGGTATTTAATGCATTGCTGATATTTTATAAGAAAAACATATATACAACACTTAATGTAACAAATTTTTATTAAGCAACTTTGTAGAAGAGAACACTCAAGATCCTCAAGGAGTTATGGTCTGGGGAGGCAGGAGGGGAAGAGTATAAGAAAACCATGTGAATGTTAAGAATATGAGCTATAAAGCAGCCTTAAGAAAGAAGAAAAAATGTCCAGGGTGGGAGGAAAAGGTTTTCAGATGGTGATATATCTAGTTGGCACATCATGAAGTGCTTCAGGTGGGAGATATTTGAGATCTATTTCAACAGACCTAACAGAGAATTTTAAATGGCACATTAAAAACATGAATTTTATTAAAGTCTTTTCCACAAAGTCTTTTCCTAAAAGATAGCAAAGATTTGTTTTGATTGTTTGTTTCTGCATAAACACAGGGTCAAAGAGAATGTGAAATGAGAAAACTGCAAAAAAATTTGAAAGCAAATATAAGGAAGATGAATCTAAAACTACCACTGGGGAAAATAAGAATCAATCACATTTACAGCAAAGAATCTACAAAAGGCTTAGGAATGCATGGCAATGAAAGTTGGATAAAGGTGAGACTCAAAGTAAGAGTGGCAAATGTACAGCAAGATCCCCTTCCAGAATCTGCAAAAGAGGACAACTTACAGTTCTTCATCACAGAAGACTGAAGGTTTATTCCCTAGACAGGATAAAGTCAAGGGTCCAGATTAGAAGACACTGAGACTGCTGGACTAAAAGTTATATTAAATATTGAGACCCATTCTCCCAATCCTCTTTGATTACTTGGCAACCAAACTGCCAGCAGCTAGGTTTCAGTCTCTAGTCATCATCTTAGAAGATTCTTCTCTGGGGCACCTGGGTGGCTCAGGCAGTGTAGCGACTTGCTCTTGAGTTCAGCTCAGGTCATGATCTCAGGGTCTTGGGACTGAGCCCCGTGTCAGGCTCCGCACTCAGGGGGGAGTCTGCTTCAAGATTCTCTCCTTCCCTCTGCCCCTCCCCACACTTGCTCTCTGTCTCTAAAATAAATAAATAAATATTAAAAAAAAATTCTTCTTTGGTGAATCTAAACCCATGAAAAACGACCTCATGAGAGACTCCATCAAAAACAAACAAACAAACAAAAAACAGTTCACTCAGGTAACATTACTTTGACAAACCCTACCCACCTGCACAGAATTTCCAATTTGCTCCTGATTTCAATAAGAGGATGAATAGCATAAAGGCTAAAAGAAAAGACTATCGAGTCAGGTTGCCTTGATTCAAATTCTAGTTCTGCCACTTAACTATGTTACACTGGGCAGATTACTTAAACACTGTGTACCTCAGTTTCCTTATCCGTCACATAGTGATACTAATACTACTACTACTAATAATAATGGTAACTAGCTCTTAAAGTCCTTATGAAGATTAAATAAGTGAAAATAGATGAAGCACTTACAACAGTGTCTGGCACATTCTAAGTATTATACAAATGTTTGTACTTTATTAGTAGTGCTTCATTCACTCTTACATATGAAGAAAGTATCTAATATAAAAAACAAGATACCAAGCAAAAAAAAATAAAGAAAAAAGATGGAAGGAATAGAGTCTACACAAGAAAATTGTCAAAAAAATAAAACTATAACTAGTACTTTCAGAGAGTTAACAATAGAAGATAGTACATCCATGAAATAAGAATAGGAAGCCCTAATTTTGGGGGGGGAAGAAATGAGAGAGGGGTGTTTACCAAGACTAAGGTCTTGAAAATAAAAATGATTACAGAAATGAAAAACTGCAGGGTGGATAATAAAGCTGAGGAAATTTCTTTTAAAAAGAAGAGTATAAAAGAAAAGGAAATGGAAAGTCAGAGTAAAAACATAAGAAAATTAAAAGATCCAGTCCAGAATATGCAATATCTAATATTGGGAATTCTAGAAAAACAAAACAGAAAAAAGGGAAGAAATCATCAACAAAATAATTCAAGAAAATTTTCTAAACCTAAAGGATATGATTTCCAGATTTAATCCAAGAAAACAGAAGAACAAACCCACACTAAAGCACAGTAGAGACAAAAAGAAGATCCTACAAGCCCTCAGAGGGATAAAATAGGTTTCATACAAAGGATAAAGAATATAATAACGTAAGACTTCACAACAGCATCACTGGAAGGTGAAAAATAATGGAACAATGCTTTTAAAATTGTGAGGGAAAATGATTAATACATAGAATTCTAAAATGAGCCAAACCAACAAATAACTAATTTGTGGGAAGACTAAAGTCATACTCATGCTGCAAAGTCTCAAAAAAAATTATTTCCCATTCTTTCTTAAAAAGCTATGGAGGGGCGCCTGGGTA